TGTCTGTTGCATGCTTTTTGAGTTCTGTGTGTAGTCGGAGAAAAACTTTTGGTGATATAAGGACCTACCATTTCTTGTCTGAAAAGTGGCATGCACACCTGTTGTTCCATATTATTAATCATTACTATAATATGATCCTTACCCTGAAGCTCAAGAGTAGAAAATGAAAGAAAACATTACTTGAACAAGTAGCAGAAAAAATGTAAATTCAGGAAACTGTAAGATAAAATAGTAACAGCTTTCTGTTTAGCACCTAGTAGCTTTCCTACATGGAAGACCACAACCATTTCTGTTTTCCTGGAGCTGCCTATGGACCACATGTGTCTTTGTTCATACTTTGCTGCCTGAATTCAAAGGATGCAGACAGTGAATCCAGCCTCTAAATAGGGTACCTCCATTCATTGGTCGAGTCCAAACTAACCATTTCATCAGAAGCTGCATATCTGTTAGTTTTCTCTTTGCTTGTTGGATATATCTTTCCACAGCACAGATAGCAGGAAGCAACATCAGATACTCCCATTTGATGGGACTTGGGGCACATGCTGAATAAGTCCTGGTGAGGCAACACCTTGGATGTTAGGAGCTTCAAGGTATATGATGTGCAGGGATACTGGTTTTCTCTGATAAAAAATAATCACAAATTCTCTAATAAAAATCCTTAAATCCATGATTCAAATGAAATGCCACTATATATAGGTATCAATTGAACACGTTTTATTGATATATTTACAATTTTAAAGCAATTTGGAAGCCTACTATTGCCTCAATAGCTATGGTAAAATAAATTCTAAATAACTATACATTTTGGTATTTGATTTTGGGTTTTTTATCATGGAAAATCAGAGTCTCCCCCGATACCTTAGCTCACAGAACACAGGTCCAGGCCCCTCACTCGCCCCCACAGTGCCCTGGGCCCTGCCAGTGACCCTCACTCCTCAACCACAGCCCCACCGCCTCTCATTCCTCACCCACTGCCCCCTGGCGCTCTCGGTGCCCCTTACTCGCCCAGTGTGGCAGGGCAGAGTAGGGCTGGGTGGGGAAGCTCCTTGCCTCTGTGAGCCCCACGCTGCTCTGGTGAGGTTTCTCCCGTATGCTCAGCAGCAGCAGGGGCTGCTTGTGCCCCTTGCTGCTGAGGGGTGGGCAGGGGACACCTCACTAGGGCAGCGTTGGCTTCTCGGCAGCAAGGAGCTTCCCTGCCTGGCCACACTCTGCCCTACTATGCCGGATCCCACTTGCTATGCCACAGAGGCCCCAGGGGAGGGGAGCAGGGTGGGTACCCCGAGCCTGCAGGAGGCAGCCCACACCCATACCTGGCTCTGCCCTGCACACAGATCTGGGGGCCACAGGCTCCCCTTTCCCCTGGGAGTGTGCACAGCAGTGGGGAGTTGCCCTCCCCCTGCTCCCCTTCCCAGATGAGCTACCCACACCCCATCCCACTCCCTGCTGGGGCCTGGCAGCTGCATATTCCAGCCCCAGGCCTCAAGCCCCATGTATCGCCAGCCAGGCAGCAGCCCCAGCCCTTCCCAACTCACTCTCTCCCTCTTTATGGGGGCCTCAATCCCCTTTTCCCACTCTCTCCTCTGCTAGACTTATCTGCGGGAGCTGCTCTCCAGGCTTCCTGGGGGCCATGTCCATGTATGAGCGTGCACATGCACATTGAACCCCCTGTCGGACCCTCCTTCTCCTGCTTCCCCCAGCCCCTTGCAGGCTGGAACTCTGCCAGCTTGCAGAGAGCTCTTTGAGAAAGTGCAAAAATCTACATTTCTCTGTTAAAATGAAAAATGCATGTTTTTTCTCTGGTAAAAGTGGAAATTGGCAGTTTTCCCATTTTTCTGTGGGAAATGGAAAACCTGGATTCCTGATGATATGCTCGGGTGACAAAGGCTGGATTTTATAGGTCGTGCTCACTCAATTGTTTGATTGCTGAAAAAAGGGAAATCTTTTTTTCTATTTGCATGTGTCTGACCTGCTTGGCATTTATGACTCAAATTTTCTCCCAATGATGTTGACTAGATGGTCAAAAATACATGCTCCTGACCTTTCCTACCAATAGAGAACTTTCCTTTTCTAAAACAGACTAGTCCGAGGAAGCTAAGTTTTAGTGTTAATTTTATGCCTCTGTAGAGTGCTAAGCATAATGGCCACATCTACACATGCACTTCACTGTGGAGTGGACTAATTAGCTGTAGAGTAAAAGCATCGCCATCAATGTGTGCACAATAAACTAATTAATACTGCCATAATATAACACTAGCCCCAAAAGTACTATCTTACAGTGGAGTAATTAACTGTTATTAAACGCATATGTTGATGCTGACTGCAGGCATAAATTGTGCCTGGTCAGCCCAGGCAGTAGGGGGCCAGACTCCTGTCTGCTGCCTAGACACACAGCTCTGCACTTTTAGGACCCTCATGTCCCAGCCAGCCCCTCCGCTACCCAATGCCACCACCTGGAGGCCTAGGCTGATCCCCCGTGCCCTCTGTCACCAGGGCAGGAGCAGCCCTGAGTGTAAACTGCTCCACCCCAGTTCAAATTGCTGCTGTCTTGGGTGCACATGTACACGCTGCACCTGGGAGTAGTTTACTGTGGTTCAAACTGCCCCAGAGCTTATTGCTTCGAATTAATTGCAAGTGTAGATGCACCCAGTGAGTGCCAATCCCTCATTGAGACTTCAAAGTTTCCCTGCAGTTCAAATATATGCAGGGCCGGCTCATCCTATCCTGTGGAACCTGTGCCGTAGCAAGTGGGGTCGGGCGGTTGCCACCACTCTGCGTTGCCACCACCACTGCCAGCTTTGTGTCTGAGCACCTGCTACCCCCCTGCCCTGT